TTGGCCCGCTTCCTCCGGGGGAGGGGCACAGATGCTGTGGTCCCACCATGACGCTTAGAACGCTTGGGGGGAACCACCTGCCCAGAGGGCGGAAGGTCCGAGCCCTCCTGGGGGCACAACTGGGCCAACCGGGCCACCCTCACTGCATGGCGCATAAAGCTGCAGTTCATACAGGGGTTCTCAGACAGCGCCTCCAAAAGGTGCTCATGTCCAAGGCAAGTAGGGCACAGGTCGTGGCCATCCTCTGCCTGCAGGGCAGCCCCACAATCTATGCAGCTGTGAGAGCCATCCATGTCGAAGGCCGACAAGGCTTAAAGAACAGAAAGTTATCGAAAATCGGGAGAGGGGGCACAAACGCAGCCGTCACCAATTACAGCAGAGAAACGAAAGAGGCTGCGAGCACAAGTCAGCCGATACTGGGAGAGGGGGCGAGAACCGCTACCGTCACCAGGTATATGACCAATAAACCAAAAAAAGCTAACAACGTCAGCTGTATGGAAACTTAAGTTGGGAGTAGGAGCGAACAAACGCTACCGTCACCAATTATAGCGGATAAAATAAGAGAGGCTGCGAACACAAGGCGGCCGATACTGGGAGAGGGGGCGAGAACCGCTGCCATCACCAAGTATAAAAGCAATAAACAAAAAAAGCTAACAATGTTAGCTGTATGGCAAGTTAAGTTGGGAGTAGGAGCGATAAACGCTACAGTCACCAATTAAGAGAGCAGACCAACGAAAAGGCAGCAAAAAAAGATTGATATTGGGAGAGGGGGCGAAAAACGCTGCCGTCACCATTTATAACAAAGCAGACCGACGAAGAAGGCTGCAAACAAACCAAAAAAGGCTAACAACGTTAGCCGTCTCCAACTTCGGCAAACGAAGTAGACCACACTTGGTTTGGAGAGGGAGCGAAAGCCGCTGGCGTCAGTAATTATAGCAGCGCAGACCGGTGAAAAAAAGGCTGCAAAAGTAGGAAATATATTGGGAGAGGGGGCGAAAACCGCTGCCGTCACCAGTTCGAAACAAAACAGCACGAAGCTGTAGGTAAAATGCTAAGAGAAAGCTGTGAGCCGGGAGAGGGAGCGCGGACGCTACCATCACCAGCAAACAACTCACTTACCTTCCATAATCCTCAGAATCAACCCGTCGCAGCCCTGGGAGGGCGGAGAATAACCGCAACTCCACTCAAGAGACAGGGGCTTCAGACAACGGGGAAGTTAGCGAACCGCTTGCGAGAAGAAAAAAGGAGCAGAGCAAAGGATGACACCAGGCTATATAGCTTCTGAGTGGTCATCCGGTGTCACAGGTGTGACTCTGTTGGTATAATTACTCGGACTGCGCATGCTCGAAGGGAACATTCAGTGCTTTCAGCACCGCCCTCTGGCAGTCAGTAGGGATGAAATAGAACCATCACTACAGTGTTTGTGCAGCAATGAAGCCTTCAGGACTCTCAGCAGGTGGTTTCCACTGTGGACTGGAGGGAAACCTGCAGAGGAACCAGACTGGATGCTAAAAATGTGTTGAGCTGTGTGAGCTTGGAGCTCAGTGTGTTCACTCCAACACGTTAAGATGAGAGCTGAAAGGAAGCTGGCTCTGCTCAACAGCTGCTCTGAACAGGACTGANTTTCTTCCCTGCTGATCCATATTTTATTGTCTGTTTTAAGAACCACCCACAGTGCACATGTTCACACTAAAGGCTAAAACTGAATCAAACGTCATCTTGACCTGTCTGGCCACCGGCTTCTACCCCAAAGACATCATTATGGAAATCAAAAGAAATGGACGTGTCCTGAACAAGGATGACGGGCTGCAGAAATCTGGGGTTCTCCCAAACGATGACGACACCTTTCTTCAACAACTCCATGTAGAGATTTTGAAATCTGATTTTTCCACCTACACCTGTGAGGTCAACCATCCTGGCTCTGCCTTGCATGTTGAAGACAAATGGGGTAAGAAATTATTTTTGATGTGCTGTCGTATACTAGATTTTAAAATCTAAGTAGATGTTGGTTGATCTACCAAGTTTTCAACCCTCATATCAGCTTCCAGAATACTGCCTTCCCACTGTATTGATAGCCTGTAGGAAACGAGACAATCTGACAGTAGACTTGTCAAAAGTGAAAAAAAAAATCATACATCAGTAGATTAACACAGAAGATCAGGTATTTTTAAACATATTTTTCATCAAAGTCATGCAGAATGATCAACACACTACAGCCTACTTTACTGACAGACCTGTAAAAGCCATTAGCATACCTTTCCCACAGCAAGAAGCAAGATAAAATATATCTAAAGAAAGTGATACATCATACTCTAGTATTCGTACAGCTAATAGCAGAAAGAACTGCTGACATAGTTCCAAACCAGTTCTAAAACGTTGAGACCACAAATAGCTACAGTAAGAGCCAACATCTATAGATGAATAAGGCCATGGAACAGTGATTCAACTTCTCAGGACTGTCTGGCTTGCCAATACAGACAATGACAGAGCATCTGGCGCTACCAAGTTTAGTTGTACACAGGTTGCTATGTCAAATCATTTTATGGTATGGCATAGTTTTTGATCTTTATGTAGCTTTAAATTTGCTGAGGTTATAGCTCCTTTGCAGTGCAACATAATGAATACCATCTAGTCCAAAAATTGTAAATGCCAATACCATGCGCCCATTGTTGCAAGGAAAGAAATATATATATTTAATAAGAATATAAGTGAGCTTCATCTATTTAGCACATATTAATTCGTGCAAGGGAGAACAGATTCTGCCAATTTATAAATACTTGCCTTAATAAGTCTTGTGTGCCTTATATTATTACTGTTGTACAGAAAATATTAATTGATTAAAGCCAATATATATAAAATGGAAAGAAAGCAGAAAATATTCACTTTAACAAAATCTTGTCTTTCTTGTTAGATTGTCCTGAAGATACCCCAAATTCAAGTAAGTATTTTATTTCTATGAAACAAATTGACACATCTTAGTATCTTTTGAAGCAGTATTTAAGCAGAACATTTTCAGGCATACTGACTTTTTTTTAAAGATTACTGATCAATTTTATGTATCAACCTATGCTGAGTCTGTGTCTTATATATTTGTAGGCTGGGGTTCAAGCACAGAGAATGTCAATATGACACCTACCGGTAAGTCAATTTTTAATAAACCATTGATTATGTACAAGTTATTATCAAACGTTTATTCATAATGAAGATTTAATAAGCCCTTAGCTATACCATGCTGTATTTCATTACGCTATGTGTTATTGTTTTAATAGATTACTGTAGCTATTTTATTTATATTGATTTCAGATAAGAATATATTGGTGCTTGTCTAATAAAACAAAAGATTCAGTTCATTGTGCTCAAGTTGTTGCTGTCAAAAACCTGGACATTTACTTAAAAGTGGATGTTTACCCTAAAAGTGGATTGTTGTTGTAGTT